CTTTAAAGATTGACATCTCTAAGTATAGGGGAGTCGAAGAGGACTCCCTCCTGAGATGGTTCGTCGAATTGGATGACGCCATAAGGGCGCGTCGCATCGACGACGGGGATATGCAAGTTGCATTTGCCCAGTCAAATCTGGCAGGACGTGCCAAGACTTGGGCACTGGGGCTCAAGTTGCACGACCCATATGCGTTTGGGTCGTTAGAAGTCTTCAAGTCGCGGCTCAGCAAACTTTTGAACCGCCTAGAGCTGAGTTCAGAACTCGAACCGAACTCTTGAAGCTCAAGCAGGGTAATCGTGATGTGCACGCTTACGCGCAACATATACGACATCTCACGAGTTGTATAAGTTCCAATCCGGTGGATGAACACACGTTGGTTTCGGTGTTCATGCAGGGTCTTGCGGATGGTCCCGTCAAGACTCACCTGTTCCGGCTTGAACTAGATTCACTAGAACAAGCCATTTCCATTGCGGAGCAGGAAGACTTCAGTCTGAGACAGGCTCGCGCCAGCTCGATATCATATCGTCAACCGAGACGATATGAAAACGGAGGTCCAGAGCCGATGGAACTCTGTTATGTAGAGAGCGAGAAGGCTCGATCTACAGACTACAAGAAGTTGCAGAGATGCAACAGATGTCAAAAGACAGGACACTACGCTTACGAGTGTAGTGCCCCTCGTCCAGTGTATCGCAACACTTGTCGTAGTGACCGTCCACCCATGAGAAAGGGGCAGGGACGAGGGTCCGCAGTTGGTGCAAAGACGCAACAACGGGATGGACCGTCAAAAAACGGACAGGATCAGTAGGTGCGGAGCACCCTACTGGTCTAGCAACGTCAAGAAAATTTGCAGGCCTCTTGATGAAGGTTGCTCCCAACACACAAACGTTGTGCGTTGCTGCTCTAGGTAATGAGATCTCACTCATTACCTTGAAAATCGAAGTGACAAATAAGTTGTCCCTTCGAGCTCTAGTCGATTGTGGGGCGTCCAACAATTTTGTGCGACGCCAATCGCTAGAAGATGGTCACTTTAAATTCAGTGAATGTGACACACCTCCTACGAGGATGACGGTACGTCTTGCGACAGGCGCATCCGTAACCGTCATGAAGCGTATAGTGAAGATCCACTATACGCTAGAAGATACCCAATATGACGATGACTTTATCGTATTGGATTTGGATGACAAATTTGATGTCATCCTTGGAATACCGTGGCTCAGAAGGTACGAACCACGGGTAAACTGGCAACATCGAACAGTAACGATGCCTGCCGCTTGTACATCAGATGGCCATCTGATGAACGTTTTGGAGCGTCCACAAGCGTGTGGATGTACTACGAGTGAGTGCGATGGCTTCACTTGTGGTACGGTCGTTAGTACGACTGCACAAAACCTTAGTGTACCAAACGGTTACACTTCGGAGCAAAGTTCCGGCGGCTGTGAGGAAACACAGGCTGCGCCGAAGGTCCACCACTCGAATAAGTCGGGTGGACTGGGACAAAGATGTATCCCTAGCGGGGAACATCTAGAAGAGAAACAATCGATCGCTCAGGTTAAGCGAAACGATAATCCTAGATCGACTGGAGAGTCTTTAGTAGAGTATCTCGCTGTGGTTGCGCAACCCCAGCTAGAGGAAGTAAAGGGAATAAGTCCCAAGATTACAAATACGGCGGAAATAAGTTCCCCGAAACCCGAGGGAATGAGTCCCCGGGAAGCCGAAGGAATAAGCCCTTCGAAGCCTGAGGGAATAGGTCCCCAGGAAATGACAGAGATATTGAATGTCATAGTCAATAACGGATCAAGTGTAGGCGCTTATACACTTGATCTGATTGCGCCTCCGAAGTTGACTTCGGAGATCACTCAGTTGCCAACGCTCGAACATAAAAGGTCCTTGCGTGATCTGCGTAGTGGCAAAGTCAAGCAGATCTGCGTACTCGTCGCTGACGATGAGTGTGTAACCGACATAAGGTCAGAAACAGTGTTCACTGAGAACGAGAGAGTTCTCAGTAGTTCATCTATGGACGAGAGTGTCCTAGACGAAAAGACACGAATTGAGCGATATGACTCCCAATCGTGGGAATCGCTCAAGACAAATCCTCTCTATGAAGATTTGGTTGAATTCAAGGATGTATACCCTGAAACTGTTCCGTGCGAATTACCGAAGGATAAAGGTATTCTACACGAGGTCGAGCTTAAACCAGGCTCGAAGTACTGTGTCATGAAGCAGTGGCCACTGCCTCGTGAACAAGTACTTGCGATCGACAAGTTCTTTGCCGATCGTTTAGCTGCGGGCCATGTGAGGGAATCAACTTCCCCACATAGCTCTCCGACCTTCTGTGTGCGAAAAGCAACAGGAGGGTGGCGGATAGTGCACGTGTTCAACAAATTGAACGCTGCAACGGTACCGGCTCAGACGCCGATACCGAGGAAGGACGTAATCATTGATGGTATGTCAAAGAGTACCATCTTTTCGTCCATGGATTTGATGGATGGCTTCTATCAAATCCTTATGCGGGAACGGGATATACCCTATACCGCAGTTAGCACGCCTAGCGGCATGCTCTGGGAATGGCTAGTAATGCCACAAGGGCTCAGTAATGCCCCTGCCACGTTCAACAGATGTGATACACATCTGTTGAGACCAGTACGAGAATTCGCGCCGAGTTATTTTGATGACGTATTCATCCATAGTCGAGCTATGGATGGAAAGTCGGACGTTGAGGTTCACAGGTACCACGTCCGACAGGTTCTTACAATCATGCGAAAGCATCAATTGTGTGCAAACCTCAAGAAGTGTATATTTGCAGCAAGCGAATTACCACTTCTTGGGTGCATCGTTGGTAAGATCGGTGTACGTCCTGATCCCGAAAAGATCAAGGCGATCACCGACTGGCCTGTGCCAGTCGATGTCAAAGGTCTTCGAAAATTCCTTGGGCTAGCGGCGTATTTGCACAAGTATTCACGCAATTACGCCGAGATGACTGTGCACCTCTCTCGTTTGTTGAAAAAGAACGAGAGGTGGTTATGGAACGCTGAATGTCAACGCTCCTTTGAGGGTATCAAGCAGAGCTTGATACAATCCCCAGTCCTAGCAATTGCCGATCAGGACAGGTCATTTCATGTGGTCTGTGATGCCAGCGATTTCGCAATCGGCTGTGCATTAATGCAGTACGATCTTGAAGGCGTTGAACGCGTCGTCTGCTATCAGTCGCGTCAGCTGCAACCAGCTGAGCGGAACTATCCAGTGCATGACAAGGAACTCCTCGCCATGAAGTATGCACTCGCGAAGTTCAGAGTCTATCTATTAGGAGATAGACCCTTCGTTGTTTACACTGACCATGCGTCATTACGCACGGCAGTGAACAGCCCGCACCTTTCACAACGAATGGCGCGGTGGTTGTCATTCTTTGCAGAATACAACTTTACGGTCGAGTACAAACCAGGACGACTTAATGTCGTCGCTGATGCACTCTCACGTCGTCCCGACTTTGAAACAGTCGCGAAAACCAACAGTGAGACAGTCACTGTTGCGGTTATGACGTCCTCAGTCCCATCTACAACGTTGTATGATGATATGAGGCGGGCATACGCCCAAGATGGTGAGATTGTGAAGTTGTTGACACATCTCTCCCAACCATCTCGAGAATCGTTGAAACGATTGTCGTCTGCGTATCGATCTGCATCAGATCGATACACTACTCGTAACGGTTTACTGTTTTATACAGCCGTTTCTGGTGACACACCACGTGTTGTCATCCCAGATGATACTGATCTGCGTTTGCGGATCATGTTCGAGTATCACGATGCTCCTATAGGAAGACATCGTGGCCGAGAGAAAACATATCTCACGGTGAGTCGAGACTTTTACTGGCCCCGCCAGTATCAGTTTGTGCGTAAGTACGTTCGCGCATGCGAAGTCTGTCAACGAGTAAAGTCAAGTCCTTCACTGCGTGCACCTTTACAGCCTCTACCGGTTCCGGCTGAGTGCTGGGAATCCATCTCAATGGATTTCTGCTTCGGTATACACAAAGACGGACGCGGGAATACGGGTATTATCGTATTTGTTGACAGATTCAGCAAAATGGTACACCTTGTGGCTGTACCAGAGACAATCACGGCAAGTGGCTGTGCTTGTGTCTTTATTGACACCATCTTCCGACTTCACGGGTTGCCCCGTGAACTCGTATCAGACAGAGATCCACGATTCACTGCTGATTTCTGGCGTTCCGTGTTCAAATCACTCGGAACGCTTGAAGATGTCGACATCTGATCATCCAGAGTCAGATGGTCAGACGGAACGTGCCAATCGTGTCCTTGAAGAGATACTTCGAGGATACGTACACTCCTTTAAGAGTTGGAGTGAGTTTTTGCCTATGGTAGAGTTTGCCATCAACAACTCGGTGCATGCGTCCACGACACATACACCGTTTTACGTGAATGGCTTACGCCATCCGCGTGTACCCACCTTACTAGAGTGTACCTCTGGTTTAAGGGGGGGAGGGACTCGCGCGAGCAAAAAATAAATTGGTTCACGCTCATCATGCTCTGACGAAGAGGTCATTGCGTTTGATGCCGATATCGATAACATCGATATCGAAGAATATGATGCCAGTGAGAGTGCGGAAGCCCTCACTGAAGAAAAGGTTGATTTTGCTGCAGTGCGCTCACAGCGCACTGAAGCTAACGAGTCATCAGATGAGTTCATACTGGCTCGTGAAACGGTAGTCCGATTTGTGCAAGACTCCATCGCCGAAGCGGTGGATAAGCAAAAGCAAAACGCTGACAAGAATGGAAGGGCAAACACTCTTTTATTTAATAAAGGTGGCTTAGTCCTACTGTCTACGGTTAACCTACCAAAGCATGTAGTGACTAACTTGGGTAGCAGTAAACTACTACCCAAGTACATCGGCCCATTTCGTGTATTGCACCGCCTAGGCAATGCATACACGATCGAGTTACCACGTAAGATGCGAACGCATCCCACGTTTTACGTTGGTCGGCTTAAGCCGTACCATCAGTACGCTGCTTCTTCCGATGAAGAACGCCCTTGCGCTCAAGCATCTCGCAGAGAGCCTTGTGCTCCCGATGGTGGATATCAACAAGGGTCTGAAGAGCAGCTATCTCATCCCGAGACCGATCAACAATCCCACGAGCTACCCTTAGCTCGTCACGAAGAGATGTCAGAGCTCTCTCGTTCTCAAGCTGAGCAAAGGCAAACTCAGCTCGATGTTTCAAGACAGTGTCCGCCGGTTGAAGACGTCTGTCCCGCTCGTGCTCGATGTCGTCGCAAAACGCAAGAGTTACGTGATCAAAGAAGCTCTCGGGTACACACCGATCCACATGATCGTATGGAGAGCGTCTTTCCTCCTCCTCCACCTCCATTAGAGGACTCTCGCGGTGGCCAACGCTATCTAGTTGAGCAGCTGTTGAACCACCGCGACGTGAACGGACGTCGGACGAGTTATCTCGTCCGGTGGCGCGGCTATCCCCCGTCCTGGGATTCTTGGGAGCCCCGCTCCCAACTGATGATCGACGTACTGGGTCTGGTTGAGCAGTACGACGCGGCACATCCTGTGCCGCAGAAGGACCGCCGGAGAAAGTCTTCCCGGCACGGTCGTAAAGGGATTTTTCAAGTTGTCAATCCCTTCGTACATCTCAATAGAGATACGTACGCGCCACCACGGGCTATTAGGGAGGTAAGCCTCCTTAGGTGCTCGTGCAGAGTTGTTCACACAACATGGGCACGAGTCTTCCCAAGAGAGGCAGGGTAATCCCTTCTCCATTGACAGACGATGCAGCTTGTAGCGTGCACCTGTCGGGGTTCGCTTTTCAAACTTATCACGAGCTTTGATAAGTTTGTCGTTCCAAGCGTCACGACCTACATCCTCAAGGTTATGGATGTAGGCGTTCCACGCCTGAAGCAGTGAGGGACCATCACGCTTGTGATTCCCACTGTACCATCGATGTCTAAAGAAAGCATCGATGAAGAATTCATGTTCAGCGCGATAGTTTTTCGCGCTGGGGTCAAGGTGATGGATCCTTGACGAATCGAACAATCGTGTTCGATAACGATCACTCGTCGTCGCCGACAAGTGATCCATGACGGATTTTGGAGGCATCCATGCCTTCTTCTCAGGAGCGAAACGCAACACATTGCGGTCCCGCTCTTCCTGCGACGTGCCGACAGAAGTACTGGCACCTCGCTGTGAAGTGGTGTCCATAGGAGAACCGACACCACTATTAGCGCCCGAGTCTCGCGACCTCGAGCGCCTTCGCTTCGGCGATGGTTATCTGATTCATCAGATGAACCAAAGATGCTGCGACGCAAAGCATCGTCCATGCCACGCTTGGCAGGCGGCTTAGATTCAATCGCCGTCGATACGGATCCGTCATCCGTATCAGGAGAGTACGATACACCGAGCTCGTACTCTGTGAAGACATGAGTGTCTTCATGACCAGCACCTGCATCACCAAGTGACACAGGCTGGGTCGCTTCAGCAACCGATGAGACATCAGTTGCTGTTGTTTCTGCTTCGGCGTCCGCACAGAGACGTGCAGACGCGCTCTCGGCGGCCTTGTTCGCGCATCGCATGGGCTTGTTTACCATGCGATGAGATGTTGGAAAGTGGACGCGGACCAACAAGTGCAAACCCTGTCCCAAATGATTTGGGATGAGTATCCATTTAGTCAATCAGTCACTAAAGTGACTGATGGTTAAGGGGGGGGTGATGTAACGGGGTGAATCGTTACATAACAATTTATAAGAAATTGTTAATAGAATATAACTATAAGAGTTATATTCTCAGAATATTGTCATAAGGACAAATATTCTGTAGCACTTACAAGTAGTTCCTAATTGGTTGATATAGGCCATTATATCAACCAACGAAGACGCGCCACGACAGACGCACGCAATGAGTGGTGAGCAGATAATCAATTTACACATTTGTATTTAGACATAGTTAGATGAAGATAAATAGTGATTTATTGCAGACATTAACTATACTAAATACAGTTCTACTTTTTACTCTAACCAAGTACTCGCTTCTTCTTACCGTCTTCCTCTGCACGTACCAGTGTACGTGAAGTTACGAGGCACCGCCTTATTCTGTCATCAGAATAAGTAGCTTGTACTGTCACCAGTACAAGCTTCAGGGTGCCCCATTACACATATAGCACTTGCTCTTTTCTCTTCCGTCTGCAACGGATGCTAAAAAGGTTTTCAATCATTTATACGGTTAATTTTTGCAAGTCAGCAGCTTGATTGCGATAGCTCTGGCACTGGTAATACATAACATTTTAGCAGTCGACTGGATGAACCGAGCTCTGCCAGATATGGACAAAATATATCTTTTGGATACGATGACGACGTGCAGCATCAGCATGACAACGTTGGAATAGGAGCCGACCCATGAATTCATAAATACGTGTGTCCAAAATTCACGTGGCGTTAAGTGTAGAAGCGAGCGCAGCCATTCCATTTTCTCGTGTACGTTGCACCACGGTTATCTGGTGCAATCAAACATTAGCATTTATTAGGATTGATGCGTTGACTTATGATAGAAGAAAAAGCATAGGTTCTTGCAATCGCACGACGCGATTGGCAAAATTGACCATAGTTTACCCCCTAGTAACTGTGCTATTAGGAAGCACAGAGATCAGCGTACATTGGTGCGTATGAACAGCGTACTGCCTTTAGCCTTCGCGTACTTTTAAACCTATTTATCACGTACAAGAGACGGCAAGACAACTTTGCATTCTATAGAATTAATTTAATCTAGATACCTTAACGGTGCACATTGCCTGCGCATTTCAAACTGTGTAAAAACTGACCAAAGTCAGCATTATAGTACATAATGTAATAACTTCGACCAACTGTCGTTGCTGACCCCGGCTTTTTTGCATATTAGCACTCAATGTAATAGGATGGAGCCCCGTGGAAGCATCCGCGGGGGTCACAAAATTAATCATCTTCATGTGTCATAAAATTGGCACAAGTGTCGGGGTCACAAAGTGACCTACTTCATGTGTCATAAACTGGCACAAAGTGTTCATGCCCATTGCCTGAGTCCTTGTCTGTACAATTAATGACACCACGCGAACTCAATCATTCATACGTCTTACGCACCGACGGAAAGCTACAACATCGATTGTTGAATTTGTGATGGCAATAAACAAATCGCAAGTTCACTGTTAAGGATGCAGTAGGCTTACATTAGCCAGATCGTCCATGTATTTCAACCTTGTTTAAATTCTTAAAATACTTACTGCTTGTATCGAAAGCCATTTTGATCTATCATTTCCGACAAGCGCTAACTTCGGTTGACTATTACGTACAGCTCAGCGTGATGTCTTCGTGTTTAGTCTGGTAAAGCCATATATTTAATCGCGTATGTTAAATGAGCTTTACGGTGCCGATAAAAATGGTTGCACGTCACTTCACGCACATATTTCAGTAAGAAAGACGCGTTTTCATTCCTAGCGACAACGCCATATTGTGACGACATCCAATTCCTCCGCCTTACTAACTGTAAAGTTGGAACCGACATGAGATACATTCCAACTGTATAGATCTAAACTTCTGATGAGAGAGGGTACCGCGAATAAGCCATTAGAGAAGGGGTCAAAGAGTTGACAAGGTTGTTTCCATGTCTGGTCTACCAAAGACTTTTTATCGTTTAAATAGCTATAGAATCCATGAAACAATACATGTGACCATTATTAGAGTTACCAGTGCTATCAACTACGCACTGGAAGGGTGTCTAATTGGACGACACATGATCCCACGAAAAGCTTGCGGAAGTTACAACAGCATTTGAAACACATGATTAGGAGCTAATTCGAAATTTGCTGAGTTTATCCTCCGATGAATTGACAGATGTTACGAAAGACAGCATAGCGTTGCGAGGTCGTGGCTGGTCATTGACAAAGTGGGCAACCCCATTTGCTGATAAAGTCTGTCAATAGTTCGGCCTGAAACAGTGCAAGATTGTAACGGGGTGAATCGTTACATAACAATTTATAAGAAATTGTTAATAGAATATAACTATAAGAGTTATATTCTCAGAATATTGTCATAAGGACAAATATTCTGTAGCACTTACAAGTAGTTCCTAATTGGTTGATATAGGCCATTATATCAACCAACGAAGACGCGCCACGACAGACGCACGCAATGAGTGGTGAGCAGATAATCAATTTACACATTTGTATTTAGACATAGTTAGATGAAGATAAATAGTGATTTATTGCAGACATTAACTATACTAAATACAGTTCTACTTTTTACTTTAACCAAGTACTCGCTTCTTCTTACCGTCTTCCTCTGCACGTACCAGTGTACGTGAAGTTACGAGGCACCGCCTTATTCTGTCATCAGAATAAGTAGCTTGTACTGTCACCAGTACAAGCTTCAGGGTGCCCCGTTACACCTGGTAGCACTTCGTAGTCCATCCAAGGACCGCGTTCACATCCAACATGAATATGTTGGATGATGAAGATGACCAAAGCTTTCACGCTACGCGTGACGGATACTCCCATTCGAGCGATGTCGAATGGGATGCGGTTGAACGAATGGGTTCGACCATGGGCATCCATGCTGTTAGCGTCATGCTAGAGGCTCTCAATAGAGATGCCCAACATGCTACTATCGCCAAGTTCATTCAAAATGAACTTGACGCAGAACGCGAGAAGTAGCCTTGCTTCACCAACAAGGTTCTCAACAAGCAGAGTTGTTGAGAGAACAGGGTGCTCAACAGTTTGAACTGTTGAGACAGCAGCAGGCTGCTGCTGGCGAGTCGATGCACTCGCGTCGACCCGAGACTTTAAAGATTGACATCTCAAAGTATAGGGGGGTCGAAGAAGAATCCCTCTTGAGATGGTTCGTAGAACTGGATGACGCCATAAGGGCGCGTCGCATCGAAGACGGGGATATGCAAGTTGCATTTGCCCAGTCAAATCTGGCAGGTCGTGCCAAGACTTGGGCACTGGGGCTCAAGCTGCACGACCCATATGCGTTTGGGTCGTTGGAAGTCTTCAAGTCGCGGCTCAGACAAACGTTTGAACCGCCTAGAGCTGAGTTCAGAACTCGAACCGAACTCTTGAAGCTCAATCAGGGTAAGCGTGATGTACACGCTTACGCGCAACATATACGACATCTCACGAGTTGTATAAGTTCCAATCCGGTGGATGAACACACGTTGGTTTCGGTGTTCATGCAGGGTCTTGCGGATGGTCCCGTCAAGACTCACCTGTTCCGGCTTGAACTAGATTCACTAGAACAAGCCATTTCCATTGCGGAGCAGGAAGACTTCAGTCTGAGACAGGCTCGCGCCAGCTCGATATCATATCGTCAACCGAGACGATATGAAAACGGAGGTCCAGAGCCGATGGAATTCTGTTATGTAGAGAGCGAGAAGGCTCGATCTACAGACTACAAGAAGTTGCAGAGATGCAACAGATGTCAAAAGACAGGACACTACGCTTACGAGTGTAGTGCCCCTCGTCCAGTGTATCGCAACACTTGTCGTAGTGACCGTCCACCCATGAGAAAGGGGCAGGGACGAGGGTCCGCAGTTGGTGCAAAGACGCAACAACGGGATGGACCGTCAAAAAACGGACAGGATCAGTAGGTGCGGAGCACCCTACTGGTCTAGCAACGTCAAGAAAATTTGCAGGCCTCTTGATGAAGGTTGCTCCCAACACACAAACGTTGTGCGTTGCTGCTCTAGGTAATGAGATCTCACTCATTACCTTGAAAATCGAAGTGACAAATAAGTTGTCCCTTCGAGCTCTAGTCGATTGTGGGGCGTCCAACAATTTTGTGCGACGCCAATCGCTAGAAGATGGTCACTTTAAATTCAGTGAATGTGACACACCTCCTACGAGGATGACGGTACGTCTTGCGACAGGCGCATCCGTAACCGTCATGAAGCGTATAGTGAAGATCCACTATACGCTAGAAGATACCCAATATGACGATGACTTTATCGTATTGGATTTGGATGACAAATTTGATGTCATCCTTGGAATACCGTGGCTCAGAAGGTACGAACCACGGGTAAACTGGCAACATCGAACAGTAACGATGCCTGCCGCTTGTACATCAGATGGCCATCTGATGAACGTTTTGGAGCGTCCACAAGCGTGTGGATGTACTACGAGTGAGTGCGATGGCTTCACTTGTGGTACGGTCGTTAGTACGACTGCACAAAACCTTAGTGTACCAAACGGCTACACTTCGGAGCAAAGTTCCGGCGGCTGTGAGGAAACACAGGCTGCGCCGAAGGTCCACCACTCGAATAAGTCGGGTGGACTGGGACAAAGATGTATCCCTAGCGGGGAACATCTAGAAGAGAAACAATCGATCGCTCAGGTTAAGCGAAACGATAATCCTAGATCGACTGGAGAGTCTTTGTAGAGGATCTCGCTGTGGTTGCGCAACCCCAGCTAGAGGAAGTAAAGGGAATAAGTCCCAAGATTACAAATACGGCGGAAATAAGTTCCCCGAAACCCGAGGGAATAAGTCCCCGGGAAGCCGAAGGAATAAGTCCTTCGAAGCCTGAGGGAATAGGTCCCCAGGAAATGACAGAG